CAGCTCGTCCTATTTTACTGCTCAAATTAGTTTAAGAAATGAAACTTATTTTTGTTTGGTTTTTGCAGTGCCTGAGCTGATATGTAGCCTTGACCTTTGACCTCAGAATAACATCACCCACCTTCTCCTCTAATGTTGAACGTCTTAATGAAGAATCATCTTCTTGAACCTCGGATCCTGACTGAGGATGAAGGCTCTGGATGAAGGAGCTGAACCGTCAGCAAAGGACTTGGAATGAAAATGATTTCATTTTAATTACGTTTGATTTAAAAAGAAACACCAGTGAGCAGGGAAGGGATGGATAACTAGTCTTCCTTCCAAATATAAAATAGTCATTTTATCTGAAAAAGACTAGATTGAATCCAAGGATACTAATTATGGTTCAGATTGAGTTTTCTCTGTCATCTAAAAATGGACAGAAACTAAATCCAAGCTTTAAGTGTTGCCTAAAGGAGGATTTTATTTAAAAGGTTTTTTTATTATTTTTTCAAACCTGATAAGGATTATAGTCTAATAACTCAAACATTCTGCAGGAACTATCCAGAACTGGATAGAGGTTGAAAAACTGTTGGAGTTTAAAGTACTCACATTCTTTAATGAAGTAAAAATATAGTTTTTGGTGCAAAAAGAATGAAAAGACTCTGGTAAAAGCACTGATTGAATTATTTACTTAATTGAAAGTAAAAACTTCCGGTTCTACAATGTCCAATAATTTTGCCATAAATGGGAGATAACATTCTTATATACGTTTTCCTGTTTCGTTTCCCGTGTTTTTGTAGAACATTAAAAAATACCAACTGTGTCTGCAGAAGCAGCTGAATACTTTTAGAGCTTTAAAATATTTGATCTCAGCGTTCTATTAAAGGGGGAGCAGACTGAGAATGTCTGCATCTCAGAATCTGATCCATCATCTGTAACATCCCCCCCGCCATATCATCCATGTCTCTATCAGAGGTTCTTTATCTGGGCTCCAACTCCACAGTTTCTTTAGATTTACCCAACTTTTTTGCAGCTAGTGTCTCGTTATCAATAATGCAGTATATTTGGTAATATAGGTCCAGCTGGTGGTGGTGGTATGATGGTGTGGGGGAGATATTTGTGGCATATTTCCAGGTCAGAAATCTCCAATCATCTCAGTAGTTCTCTGGTTCACATGTTGCTCCAGATCCCAGATGTTGTGAAGAGGAAAATATCAAAGCCCTGTTGTAAAGTTTTTTATTTGGACTAGAATCTAAATTAAATGTAGCTTCAATAAAGACTTAAGATTTTTATATTTTCAGCAAACACTAAATACGATCCATAGGAGCATGTATGTAAAAAAAAAAATCCTTTTAATGCCACATTTCTCCTATTTACATTTTTTTTTACACTTCAGTGATTTTTCTCTCACATTTAGTGGCAAAATATAATTGTTGCATCTATAAATCTATTTCTAAATCTTCAATTTATATTGAATGTTATATTTCAATCAAGCCTTAAATTTATATCTAAATCAATCTTAAACCAAAATATATTTTCTGTGTTTAACCTAAATCTTATCCGGGGTCTGGTTGGGGTGGGGGTGTAGCAGCTTCAGTAGGGAAGCCCAGAAGTCCCTCTCCTCAGCGCTTAGGCCAGTCCCTCCAGCGTGTCCTGGGTCTCCCCCTGGTCCTCCTCCCAGTGGGACATGCCCGGAACACCTCACCAGGGAGACGTCCAGGAGGCTCCCTGATCAGAGGGCAGAGCCACCTCAGCTGGCTCCTCTTGATGTGGAGGAGCAGCAGCTCTACTCTGAGTCCTCCCCTGATGACTGAGCTCCTCGCTCTCTAAGCGAGAGCCCAGACACACTAAGGAGAAAACTCATTTCGGCTGCTTGTATCTGGGATCTCGTTCTTTTGGTCATGAACAAAAGCTCATGACCATATTTGAGGGGGAGTAGTGGCCCAGTGGACAGGACAAGGCGCTTGGAATCCAGAGGTTCTAAGTTTGAACCCCACTCCCACAGACTACCACTCTGGGTCCCTGAGCAAAGACCCTTAACCCCACACTGCTCCCGTGCGCCGCACAACGGCAGCCCACTGCTCCCCAAGGGGATGGGTTAAATGCAGAGGTACATTTATTTGCTCTGTAATTAAAAACTGCAAACAAAAAAAAAAAAACTAAGATGGACCAGTAATTTGAGAGCTTTGCGTTTTGACTCAGCTCTCTTTACAGCCAGTTAATCTCCTGCTCTATCTTCCCCTCATTCATGAACAAGACCCCAAGATACTAAAGCTCCTCCACTAGGGGCAGTACATCCTCCCCAACCCGCAGAAGGTTAGACATAGTCTAGTAAACTAGCCCCATCCTCCAGCGACCAAGATCATTTTTGCCTGCGAGTTTGGTCTGGCCTTGATCAATGCCCCAGGCCCTAGAACTGGCGGGCCAATCACAACGCAGAGATGTGTTCTGAATTTCTTGATGCAAAGCAGGCGGGGTTTTGAGGGCGTGATGACAAAGCTGTGCGACATTGGAGAAAGCAAAACAAGGAAGATGGCAACAGCTATTGAACAGTTCTTGTTTGACTCAGCTTTGGAATCAGTTTCGGAAGGAATAGATTTGGGGTTTTTGTTGAAACGTGAGCAGGAAGAGGCTCTACATTCATTACACTCCCCCACCAGCTTTCTGTCGCGCTTACGTCACAGTCAGTTGCGCTCATTGGTCAGGCACGGATTTTTTAAACTCGTCATTTCTTTGATGACTGCTTGCTATTCTTACTTTAGTAAACCTTTGGATGTTTCTCTCTGATTGGATTTCCCCTTCATGTCTGGATGGACAGAAACCTCAGAGGGATGCTCCTGACGCCTCGCTGTGTGTTCGCCATGGAAACCAGGTGCAGATGTGACTAAGGAGCTGTAATGAATTAACTCGGCAGGGAGTCGGGGACCATCAGAGAACAGATTTTTTAAACAACCTGCAGCGTTTTTTCTAACATGATCTCAGCTCTCTTCTCCTGGACTAGGCCCACTGCGCTGCTCTGTGGCCATAAACTGCTGCCATCATGTTTGCTCTACATTTATTTTAAATGAAAATAAAAGCTTAGACCTACTTCTCAGATTCCATTTTTTTTAAGTTTCAAACCTGCTGCCACCTCAGCATGGGGCCGGGCTTAAATAACATAGGGCATGGACTGAAAACTTAAAATGTTCCCATCAGTTGCATTCAGGAACAGTTGGAAATAGAAAATCTTTAAAACATCAATATTGTATGTTTAACTTCTTTAAAGCAATCCCATTAATATAGAATATTGAAGATGGTTTAAAGGGGTCATAGAATGATTCTATAGGGTATGTGGTGCTGGAACTTAAGGTCTCTGAATAGGGTGTGTAACATTGATTGGGCTAAAAATGGCATATTTGCTGTTCTATGAGCCCTAATGCAGCCTGGTTAAAAGCCCTAGAATGAAACATGTTTTCTTCCTTTTATGGTATGATCATGAATATTTAGATGAGCTGTACTCTGATTGGTTGGTTTACAACGAGCAAAGCTGCTGAGCAGAGATGCATCATTGCAACAAGCACTCAATCACTGAAACATCAAATTGTTGATATGGTAGGGTGACCAGACGTCCTCTTTTTGACGGACATGTCCTACTTTTCAGACCTAAAAAAAATGTCTGGGGGGAATTTTAAATTTCAAAAAAGCAGAACCGAGCCATGAGCTCCAGGGCTGGTCCAGGAACCCTGGCGGATGGGGGCAGGGAGCCAGTAGTGGGACGGAGCGACCGAACCAGACCTGGTGATGGTAGCCTGGACACAGGCGGCCCCGTGCTCCCCCCCCCGCCTGCCTTATTGGCCCCCAGCCCTCCTCCTCCGGCTGAGGACGGGCAGCCCATGGCTCTCTGCTGAGGTCCGGTCAGCGGCCCAGCAGTTTCTTTAAACACTTCATTAAAAACATAAAATATATATAAAAAAATGATTTAAAAAATTAAAAAAACATCCCCCAAATTGACGTCATTGGATTCAACCGTTTTATGGTGGAAGTTTAGAATAGTGAGATTTGCAGACAAAGGAGGCTTCTCTGTACGTCCATTTCACCCACTGAACTATCATTATTCATCTATGACAATGGAAACTCTGTTTTTCATTCTATGACCCCTTTAAAGATATTCCCACGGTTCCTGAATGCAGCAGTTAGGAATATTATTGTGCAGACACCTAAACTGTCAGTCAACAATCCCGACTCGATGTGTTCTAAGCCCCTCCCCCCCGCTGAGGTGGCAGCAGTTTGAAAACTTTTTTGAAATCTTTCTTTACTTAAAAATTACTTTTTAAGCCGTAAATAATTTTTTTCAGTTTAAAAATAAAACGTTATGACCCTAACCGTCCTCCACGCAGTCCTGGACTCTGCAGCCAGTTTGGGTATTTAGATGGATGACTTCACGGGGATCATAGCCTGAACTGGACAGCAGCGCATTATGACAGGAACCAATGTGATCAAATGGACTGAACCAGAACAAAAATGGACTTTAAACCCAAACCAACCTCAGGGAGCTTCCACCAAATTGAAGAACCTAAAGGATTTTTATAATCATTTGAATAAATCGTGGATTGGTGGGTTCTGCAGGTCGGCGCAGATTGAGGGTACAGTGAAACCGGCGGACAAAAACAGGCGCCACGTCACAGAGAAACTCTCAAAGCTCTTTAATTACAACACATCTAAAATTCAAAGAGTCGTTTTGGAGCGGTCCACAGTGGGATCCTGACACAGCAGTACCGTTCAGCTTCGTCCACTCATCCCTCCACAGCCTGAACACACACACACACACACACACTCTCTGGGTCTGAAATGTCCACCAATCAAGCTGCTGCTTCCTGCCTCAGAGCTCTGCTGTCGTCATGGAAACCTGATCAATCATGACGACTGGTACCGGGACCACTCTGCACACAGCAGAGCTAAAATCTCTCCTTTATTAATGGTTTAACGGAGCGAGGGAGGAAGAGGAGCTGAAGGTCTGGAACAACTTCATCAGTCCTCTTCTTCTTCACCTGTCAGCCCAAAACCATCTCTGAGCTTCCAGCTCCACAAAATGTCGCCCACCGTCAATCCAACGCTGAGGATCCGCTTCAGGAAGAACCTGTCAAGATTCGGGTCAAATCAACAATCAGAACCTCCAGAATTCACCAAAACACTGCAGGGAATGGTTCCCATTGTTATTTTTTCTTAAAAATATTCTGGATGTAGTTTGGACCAACAGAACCAGGAAGAAAGGTCAAACTTTGACCAGAGTTCACTCTGGGTGCAGAGCGCCGTTCAAACACTCTGGATCCTTCATTTTTATTTATTTTTTTTGTCTTACCAGATAAAACTCAGAATCCCATGATGCTTTGCTGCAGGGTTCTGTTTGGTGCGTTTGGCCTGATTCACCCAGAACCTAAGGAGCTACGTTCATCTTCATCAGGCGACCGTGAACGATGCTCTGTAACAAAGACCCGTTTAGGTTCTGGATATTTTCCATTTTGCCTCGCGTCAGCGTCCGCCCGGTTCGGAGGCTCAAAGTGCGGCACTTTCAGAGTGGGTTAGATCCGATAAGCGAGCCGCGGCAGAGAACCGTCCCAGCGCTGCTCTGCAGAAACCAGTCACATGATGCGGCAGAGATGGGTCCATGATTTGATTGGCTGAAAATAAAAACTATCAGGTCCAAATGTTCTGAGCTAAGTGAACCGGCTTAGAACCAGAACCAAACACACAGGATTAGTTTGGAAAAGGAAACATGCTCCGGTTCTGACCCAGACTCACAGAGTGAAAACAATTAGCAGCAGCTCTGAAAAAGTCAACGGTTCTGGTCCAAAGCTTGTGATCCAGTTTCCTCCCCTGTTTGTTCCTTTAATGTGGACCGGATCAGTAAATGGGGGCCGGGTCAGAACCATGGAACAGAACCGTGAACACAAACACACACACACTCTTCTGTTCAGGCTCATGTAGCATCAAAACACACCGTAGTGCAACTCTGGGTTTTTAAGAAGCATTGGGGGTCAGAGCGAGACCCGTCCGGGTAACAGTACCAGTCCAGACCCCCCCCCCATTTCTCTCCTCGTTTAAAAACCCAAAACAAACTGAAACCGTATCTAATCTTCCACCATTCAGTCTCTACTGTCCCTTCAGCCTGAAGCGTCCCCCTTCCCCTGATGGGACAAACTCATACGCGTCCCTCGTCCTCTGATGGGACTCTCTCACACCCGTCCCCCAATAGGACACTCACACCCATCTCTGTCCTCTCATGGGACCCTGTCCCCCCCATCACAGTCACAGGACAAAGTCCAGTGAGTCCGGAGACGTCAGTCTCTGCTTTATTGGTTATCTGGTCACTTGGCACCGAGCGCAGCAGGAGACCGTCTATGATGAAGAAACCATCCTCCTCCTCTGCTTCCTCCCCTTCATCACATGGAAACGAAGTGGACCAATCAGGGAGGAGGGTCGTTTCCCATGAGGAATGATCTATACGCAGTGAGGATGAGGAGGGTGAGAAGAGGAGGGGGGGGGCCGTGTCGAAGCAGCACCTGTATTTGTGAGTTAAGGCTCTGAGCAGCACGCTGGACTCCGCTTCTCTCGGCCAATCAGAAGACTACCTGCTGTAGGGGTCGCCAGGGTAACCGTCAGACCCGCCTCCACTCCCGGGGAGGGGGCCTTGAGAGGATGAGGAGGAGGAAGAGGACAACAGCAGGGAGGAGGAGGAGGAAGGACCCTGTGGGGGGGAGCCATTAGTTCGTCCCCCGTCGAAAACATCGTCCATGTCCAGCCTCACAGAGAGGCCTGGGGGCCGGGGGCCCCGCAGCACCTGGGAGCCCCACATGGGGGACAGTCGCTCGGGGGGATCAGCCTGCAGGGAATGGAGGGGGTAGGGCTGGGGGACGAGAAGCGCCTGAGTGCCGGGGTCCGCTTGAGGCCTGGAGGCCCCGGGGCCCGTCTGGGAGCCTCGGTGGATGCGGTGGCTGACGATGATGTTGTTCCCGAAGCCACCCATGGAGGCCATGGTGGTGCTCTGCTCCCTTTGGACCACGGCCGTCATGCCGCCCTCGGCGATCAGCCGGCGGATCCGGGCCAGCGCGTCTTCTCCAGAACCAAAGTCTGCAGACTCAGCCGGACCTGAAAGACAAAGAACTGGTTTGACTTGACCCATCAGCAGAACCAGACGTCACAGAAATGAAACGCAGTGGTGTCAACAGAACAGGACACCATTTTTAGACTATAATCAGGACTGGTACTGGTTCTGGTACCAGACCGGTCTGAGCACAGAGGGTGAAGCAGTCACCTGCAGCAGAATCGGTGCTCTCTGCAGAACTTTCTGTCTGGACTCTGTCCTGAACTCCACGGTTTTCCGGTGCAACTGGAGCCGTCTGAGCAGCTCGACTCGTAGACGGAGTTTCTGCCATCAGACCTGTGGAGACACGTTCCCATGGTAACCAAGCGGAGAACAAACAGATTTGGTTCCGAAGGAAAGAAATGGGGATACTGATGGTCCGACAGCAGCAATCAGCAATGATTCTGTTTTATAAACAGAAAGTTAAACTTTAAAAAAAAAAATCTTATTTAAAAAGGTTTTGAGAATAAATTCGCTTTTTTCTTGTTTTTTTGTTTTAATTGCTTTTCTCTAAATTAAAATTTCTACATTTTTTTTTTTTAATTGTTCTACTTTATATTTTACTTTTTTAAATGATCTTCTTCAGGTTGAGTTTTAGGAATTGCATTCTTTTCAAATTATGTCTCACAGATCAAAATTTCTAACAGAAATTTTAATCTGTAAATTATTTTTGGAAGAAAATTAAGAAAAAAAATAAAAAGTATAAAAAGAAATGGCCAAGTTACTCGCAAAAGCTTTTTTAAATGAATGAGTTTTCCACTTACAAAAAAGGTTTTCATTAAATAATTTAAATTTATATAAGCTGTTTAACTGTTTATTTTTGCTTTCACCAAAGATGGAACAACATTCCCTCCATAGTGAACCTGACAGGAGTCAAACTCGCTTTTCTATCAGATTCATCAATTTTCTGTCAGATTCCTAGTTTTTCTATCAGTTTCAATATTATTCCGATGATTTTCTGTACTGGGAGTGTTTGTTCTTACTGGGAGGCTGCTGGGAACCGCCGGGCTCCGACAGGTCTCTCTCCGTCTGCGTTTCGGCGTTCTGCAGCTGGATGATCGGGGTCTGGGTGCCCTGTGATGTCACTGAAGGGGCGGGGTTTCGCGGCTGCAGTCCGATGGCGTTCATCAGTCCCATGTCTCTGTCCAGCCTCCAGCCGGAGCGGTTTGGCCTGAAATCATAACACGGTGATGAAATAACAGCAGAAATAGTCTACTTAGCATGAGCTGGTCGGGTTCTGACCCATTACTAGAACCAAACGTAGGTTTGGGATCTGAGGAACAATCGGCAAAGGTCAATTAACATTTCAAATAATCTTTGCTGATCTGTAGAAACCAGATTTAGACAGTCAACCAGAACCATTTTTTCCCCACAATCAATTGCAGGAAAATTCTGGTTCAGGTTCGAATGAGCTCAAATGTTCACGGGTCACTTCCTGGAACTCCATCAGGCTGGATTTTCAGTTACAGCTCTCACCCTGGTCTGTCAGAACCTCGAGTCCGGCTGGTTCCACTGTTGTTAACCGAGAACAGTGGCTCGCTGCTGGGCTCAGCGGGACTCTCACCATCGCTTCTGTAGAACCTGGACACAAACAAACACATGATTTCCTGAGCTAATTCACTTCCCTTCAGGAAGTTTCCTGTGTGGAGGAGGGACGTCTGCGTGGAATCACTCGGATCAGAGCCTCTGTAATTTATCCAAATGGGCTTTTCCAATTGAGGCTCTTCCTGTGAGCTCATTCATTAAGATAATGATGTTATGCGGGTGGGTGGGGGGGTCACACCAACACAGCAGAGCTGAAGGTGGAGTTTTACTGAGAGAACGAGGCTGAGGGTCACTAAAGCCTCACACTGAGGATCCTTACAGCAGCCAAAACATGAAGCTAGAAGGTTCTCACAGGAACCACGACCCCAGAAGCTCTGGTCCAGTTCTAGACTGAGACAAAAAGAGAAAAGAGGGAGGGAAAAGGTAAAGGGAGAGAAATAAAAAGGGATGAATAATATGAAGGGAGACGGGAGAAAAGGACAAAGAAGGGAAAACAGGAAGGACAGAAGAAAGGAGAGAATGAAGGACAGGTGCAGGTGGGAGGGGTGGGACTTTAGAATATTGGGAGCGGGATAAATCCAGGAATGAAAATATGTTTTCATTCTGAGCCTAAATCTGATTCCCGGTGAGTAATTCCTGGAAGAGCGGCGACTTCATGGAGCGTTTCCTTCTTCTGACGGTCCCCCTGGTTCCTGTTCTTCACTGCAAAATGTGTCCATCTAAGACTGAGCCTTTTTGATCTTGTTTTGACATTTCCACACTAAGAGAGTCCAAATTATAATAATAATCTTAAATAATCTAAACTTGAGAAGTTTGTATTTAATATTAGCAAAATAATCTGCAGGTACAGATTATTTCAGACAACTGCACCCTTTGAAATCTTGATCTCAAAAGAAGAGGTCTTACTGACTCCTTTCATTTTAATTCGAATCTAATGATCCAATCAAATCTGCTCTTGCTTCATATAATACTTTCTCTGATCCTGATTGGTCAGAATTTGGCAGTGAGTGGAGATTTCATTGGCTGTTGTTTGGATGAGCTAAATATCCTCATACGGTATTTCTAGTGACAGATTTCTTAATAAACATTTAAATTCAATATGAAATATAGCTTTTTAAAACTGGGACACATTTCTTGTCCGTTCCAGGAAAAGTTTATGACTTAGTTGAAGGACGGGACCTCGTTTAGTGTCAGTAGGTAGCTTTACGTCAGAGACACAGAAATCCAACGTGCTGTTCTCCAGGGGTCCATCTTTGGGCCCCCCCGATTATCTCCATGCCCCCCTTAACTCAGATTTTAAAGGAATAGTACACCCAAAACATGATTAGCCTTCATTTTCTACTCACCCCCATGCTGAACAACACTCTGGAGTACTTTTTTGA